ATAAAACTTACTGTCTGGCCACTGTATTTCACTGTTAATCAATAGCTCATCTATTGGGACTAAAGTAATCTTTGAAGTTGGCATCACCATTTTAATAAAAACAATCTCTGCATTAACAGAGAACAAGATTATTTAAATAATCTTTTTCTTCAATAAAGCTTAAAGAGCACCAGCTCTATATTGTTATAAATACATTACTGGTGAATAACAGAAGCATAAAAAAAGGCAAACACAATTTCTTCTACTAAACTTATTTCTTATGAGATGGTGACACTTATGTTTATAATAACTAAGACATTAGAGAATGTAGCACAAGGAGAGATTGAAGAGACACAAAATGAACATTTAAATATTCATGGTTATTGCATTGAGGAGAAATTATATCTCATATTGAAAGAATTTTACAAAACAAATTTATGAAATAAAGATGATGAAAACATAAGTATTATGCGACAGGGCCAAAGAAGTGTTTATGCATTCTGGGACAGATGAATTGAAATATACTTGTTTAAGAGGAGAGTTAGTGTGTGGGAGTAATGAAAATATAGTAGTCAGATGCAAAAGGAAGATAACTAAGGTCTTTAAATGTCCAGTGTTTTCCAACAACAAAATAAATAAGATGAAGAGAAGATTCATTCATTCACTATTCCCAAGAAAATATATTTAAATATTCACTAAGTAGTGTGGCATTATGTAGGCAATGCTATTTCAATAGGATTGGAAAAAATAGGAGAGAACCCATCATAAAGGACAAAAATAAGTAGAAAAACTACAAATCTAAAAGGAGCAGCATAAACAAAAATTCTAGAGATTATGATAGGACAAAACATTTTTTTTCCTGACTGAAGAAGGTGAGCTCTGGACCTGGGATATGGTACAGAACCGTAGGTAATACTGCAAGATATCACCTTGCAGCAGATGACCTGATTCAAAACCCAGCACTGCATATGCTGTGGCTCGTCCTATTTCAAGACAAAAACAAAAACTGTATGTGGTCACAAAACAAAGCAAAAATGAAAACCAGAAAAAAAAATGAGCTCAGTATTTAAGCAACTTGGGTATACGCTTCTGTTTCCAGGCTATAAAAACTAAAGGTATAAATCTGGGCCATAAATAATACAGATCTTGTTCAAAATTGTAGATTCTAAGATGTATGATGAGGTATGAGTAACAGATAGGTCTCAAAATCTTTAATAAACAAGAGCAAGTATCGCCTGTACTCACTCAGAAAACCTCCAAAGGACCATACTTAGCCTCTAGCTGAATATACGAGCATGGAAAGTGAAGGAACACTGGATGGAATGGGAGAGTCAGCAAACTAAACAAGATGGTTTCTAACAGCAGAAATTTCCTGCACATCTATCTTTCCATCTATGCTGATATTCTGATATAAAGAAACATCCAGACTGAAAACAAATGCCTGCTGTGGAAAATTGTCTTCTTAAGAAAAAAAATGTTTCCTTCCATGTCTTAAGTACTCATGAGAACTCTCCAACTCTTATAACCTGCCTTGAGAAAAAAAATTCTTTTCTGGGAGTTGAAGCCGCCACATATCCTAGGCCTGCATAGACTCTTGTTTTCTTTGTAAATTGCTTCATGCTTTAGCAACATTTTTCTTTTGTCCTACTTCCTCTTTCCCCCACCACAAACATTGTAGTAATGTTACATATGGATTTTCTAATGTCTTTCAAAATGATTACTTTAAAATATAATATATTTGTAAAGATATGTATTCCTTATTTAATATTACATATATATATTCAGAAAGAGAATTTATTTCTTCTCTGAACAGATAAATCTGTGTCACCAAGTCTGCTTTACATAAATGTAGAGTTCAGTGGAAAAAAAAGAAGGAGATCAAAGAGTATTTCGGCAGTCCAGGGACTCAGTGGCTATTTATAAAACTGGAATGTTTCACAGATCAAGCCTTTAATCAATGAGTGGGGCCATAAAACTAGATATAAAATTGAGGTTCCCCATGCCACCCCATTATGTATTAGTTATTCTTGTCTCAAGATATCAAGTGAAAGGATATTCTTAATTATTTAGAATTATAGCAAAGAGACCATTTCATTTTTATGCTATAATTTTCTTGTTATTCATTACTTATTTTAAAGAGGAAGTAACTCTGGCATCCAAGGTATAAGCCTCTTGCCCTGGTGTGGAATTTCCATGTTGTTCTAACTAAAGATGCCTTGAACTTCATTCTAAACACACGAGATACATGAAACTACCAATACCCTCTTATTTCTGAAGGAAAAATTGGAAAACAGTGCTTTTCTTCTTAGCCAAAAAATATTGAAGTTCCCAGAATTTAAAAAGATCATCCAGAACTTTTAGTTGTAATAAGTCAAAGAACTTATGTTTAAGGTCAGCACAATAAAGAGGTCACTTGTGATCATGAATTTCACATAGCAAAGTAAATATGCTGTTTGTGTAAAACATCACCACTGGGTTTTAGGTAGTCTCATGCTGTTTTCAGAATCCATGGCTGGCAGTTTATGAGATAAACCAGAATTTAGAAGGTGTACAGAATGAACATGATACCATGTTCTCTTCTGGTCTCTGTGGGACTTTGGCTTGGTCACCAGTACTCTCTGGACTGCCGACTCCTCATTGGAAAATAACGATTTGAATACTAGTCCTCTCTAAGATCCTTTCAGTTTAAAACTCTGTGAAACAAGCAGAATCTCACCAGTAAATTTACATCAACATTGAAAGTAGGTGAAAGAATATACATGATAACCTTTTGGCATCTGTATTGCAAACCATGATGCCCAAAAGGAGAGAGCAAGACAGAGAGGGAGGAGGGAAGAAGAAGGAAAGCGAGAGAAAGAGAAAAAGAGACAGGCTGGGGGGGGGGGGGAGAAGGGAAACTGAGGACATCAGTGCTGGGAAATGTACATTGGTGGAGGGAATGGGTGTTGGAACACTATATGATTGAAACCCAATCATGAACCATAAACAACTTTGTAATGGGCTATTTCAGGTTGCATGAATTGAAAAATAAAAGATTCTACAGGAAAAAATATTGAAAAGAAAACACAACTTCTTGAAAGTTAGACTCTATCTTGTGTGTATCTTGTGTGTGTTCACACCATGAAGAGCACTGAAGAATAGTCTCTGACAATGGTTGAAAGAGGAAAGAATACAAACAGGAGAGGAAGAATACAGACATTCTTCATGAGTCTATGTCTGTCAGTGACAACTGGGCTATGAATTTATTTTGTTCTGTCTTACCTTTTTCCTTTTAGGGCCACAGGAGTGGCGCTCAAATCTTACTCCTGGTTCTGCATTCAAGGATCACTCCTGGCATGGCTAGGGGATCACTCATGGTACCAGAAATCAATACTGAACCAGTGGCATGCTAGACTAGTGCCATAGCTGTTATGCTCTCTCTCTCTCTCTGACTCCAGTGAATTTATTTCAAAAGTTGCATTGTGTGCCTTCCTCATGACATTTAATTTTTGTATGGTTTTTAGCAATACAATTTTAATGAGTTGAATTTCAATGTTAGTATAAAGTATGTAATAAACAAATCCGTCACTATCGCTATCACCCCATTGTTCATCAATTTGCTCAAGTGGGCCCCAGTAACAACTCCATTCGTCCCTGTCATGTGCTAGTGTAGCCTGATGGCATATTGGGGCTCTTTCAGGGTCAGGGGAATGAGGACCATCATTGTTACTGTTTCTGGCATATCGAGTCTGCCACGGGTAGCTTGCCAGGCTCTGCCATGCAGGTGGGATACTCTCAGTAGCTTGCTAGGCTCTCTGAGAAGGATGAAGAGCATAAAATCATAAACAAATCCATAAAGTTCTATAAAATGATTTTTTAATCTAGATATGTTGTCTTACAATACTTTTTATGTTTCAAGGGTACAGCTTCTCACCTTGATGAACAATTACCACACACTCTCACTAATGAAGGTCTAATTACCGTCCATCAATATCTGACTGGCTCTCTTCACCTCTCTCTCCCTATCCTCTTTAGCCTATTAACTCTGTAGCCAGCATTTAGTTATGCCACAGACAATAAGCCAGAGAATACCACAGGACTATTAATATGTGGAGTGTAATAGAATGGAGTCAACAAAAAGAGACAAAACCAAAGCAAACCTTCATACTCTAAGGTTAAAATAGTATTTGCAGTATTCTAACTTCTGTCCAATAGCCTTCATATTGTGTGAACTGAGAGAGAGAAGCCAACTGGATTATCTGAGTTTACACTATAAGACACAAAGCTATTATTTAAACAAAACAGACAGACTCTATGGCCATCCCTGTTGTCCAAGCCTTTGAAAAATGTATTTGGTGCAACACATACATATTGTTTTTCTCCAAAATAGTTTATTTAAGAGAACACAAGCACACGTACATTAGAAATTTAAAAAAATAAAAATGATTAAAGAAAGCAGATGTGGTTTTCATCTGGACTCTAAAATTTTGCTCTCTACTCTGGACCTCCTCTAAAACCACAGTGCATCAATCCTCTGGCAATGCTCTCCTGGAAGGGCTTGGCAGGTCAGCAGGGGCTCCCGGACAGCTGTGCTTTCCTGGCACAGGACCAGGATATAGCTGTCAGTGTCATTGTGCCAGCAGGGGTTTCCTTTATCACTTTTGTAGCCTGAGATGCTCCAAAATTGTACTGTTTCTTAAGTTTTCTTGACAACCCCATATTTGAGATGAAATAGAGGGAGGTGGAATTTTTGACCTACAAGACTCGATTTTGATATACTCCCCGCAGCGTATCCTGAGCCAAATCTGATCTTGGATATCAGAAAGATTCAAATCTGAGCTTGGATGTCTCAGATATCCATCTTCACCAGTGGATGTCACAAACTCCTCACAATATTTCTTAGATCTGGGATACAGACCCTTCTAAAGGTTATAGACATACTAGGAAATGATTAAATGCATACTCTCTCACAAGTAAGCTCGACAGATAGCATATCATTGATAGGCAGTTGACATTATTAGCAGGCTGATACATAAGCAGACATGACAAATCATCAAGATGATCCTGAAGGTTATTCATTTTCATTGAGTAATGAAACTTTGCCTGTACTGAAATTTGGGGGCAAAATAATTGAGGTGGGCTCAATTATGTGGTCAGAAAGGTGTCAGTATAGCTCAGAGACTTTTCCAACCAAGATATCTGTGGACTTCAGTGACAGAGAGGCCTGGACTAATTGACAAAAATAGCTGGAAGGCTGTGGAACGAAGCATTTTTTTGCTGGAGGTAAGTGAGATCTCCAGAACCAAAGGGAACACACAGTTCATTTTAAAATTGAGGATGTTTATGCTCAGGATGAAACTGGATTCCATCTGGGCAAGAGATGTGCTTATGTACACAAAGTAAAAAACAAGACAGTGACTCCTGGTAGCAAACCTAACAAAACTACAGTGACCTTGGGAAAGGTGACCCGCGCCCATGGAAGCAGAGTCATGGTTCGAGCTAAATTCCCAGGCAACCTTGTTGTTAAGGTGATTGGTCACAGAATTCGCATGATGCTGTACCCCTCAAGGATTTAAATTTACTGAAAAGTAAATAAGCTATATATATATATTAAAATATCATACTAAATCCTCGAAGGAATTTTCTCTTGAGAGTAAAACTCTAATACTACAGTACAACCCCCTAACCAGTACTCTCAACTTGAACTCAGGCAAGAGTATCCTAACTGGTTCCCTAGTGGGACTGAATTTCTACAGTAAGAAGTAGGGTTCTGCTGTGATTGATTTTTAATGAAAATGAGATTACCTCCTTCATATGTAAAAAATCCTTTAGGGGATTCTCAATATATTTTTGGATAAGTCCACACTCTGGACTTCACCTACGTATAAGCCTCTACTCATCTCTTCTTACCTCATCATCTACCACTTTTGCTTACTCATCACTAACCTCTAGGGGGTTCTTGCTGTTCCTTCAATGGAATAAATTCATTTCCAGTAGTCCTTTGTATCTAATGTTTCCTTGTATTTTTCCACATCTCTCATCCTGTGACACATTCCCTAACTTTATTTAGGAATTTACAGATTTTACCTACTTGGTTTCTCAATGTAGCACTGTAACACTGTCCTCCTGTTGTTCATCAACTTGGTCGAGTAGTCACCAGTAACATCTCCATTGTGAGACTTGTTACTGTTTTTGGCATATTGAACACACCACGGGAAGCTTGTCAGGCTCTGCTGTGTGGGCAAGATACTCTCAGTAGCTTGCCGGGCTCTCCGAGAGGGACAAGGGAATCGAACCCAGGTCTGCTGTGTACAAGGCAAATGCCCTACTCACCGTGCTATTACTCCAATAGCCTATCCAAATATCATTCCTTGATCTACATTTTACTATTTTCCTCTAGCTCTATTTTTAATTATAAAATTCCATTCATTTAGCAGTGTATTATTTATTCATATATAATTATATAATGTGTACCCCTATAATATAATGTAACTTTTGAAATTCACACACTATGATTTACAAAATTTTTGTAACAGTTTCATGCACTCAGAATATTCTAACTACAACCCAATTCCACAATTTCCAAAGTTCCCTTCCTTTCCTTATCTCCCCTCATTAGCAAACCTCTCTTTTAAAAGTTTACTTCCGTAGTGATAGTACAGCGGATAGGATATTTGCCTTGCACACAGCCGATCTGGGTTAAATCCCCAACATCCCATATGGTCCTCCAAGCACAGCCAGGAGTAATTCCTGAATGCAGAGCCAGAAGAAACCCCTGAACATTGCTAGGTGTAACCCAAAAAGCAAAAATAAAAAGTATACTTCACAAGCATATCGTAGTGTTGACTTGTATTGTTTTTATGCATGTAGTGCCCTAATCTCTAAAACACCAAAATGTCCAAGACCCCTAACCAGGGCCATTATGTTACCACCAGTTTGCTCACTCATTTTCCACCTCTAAAACCCTCTTTCTTTGACATTCTCATTTCTGTAATACAGTGACAAGCATTTGCCATCATTTGACACCTGAATAAAGCAATTTTTGTGAGTTTAAGAATGTGTCTTCCTCTTCAGTTTCCATAACTTTTTCTTCAATAGTTTTTTTTAACTCTAGTTCTATATAAATAAATGAACAAAATTTTTTAGTTTGATCAGCCAAACATCTACCATTACCAATACTAGACAAATACTAAACTCTTTGACAATCCTTTCCTTAACGAAACCCCACATTCAACATTTTTTTTTAAATTACAAAGCACTCAGTCAGAATCAGTGACTCTAAAAGTATAACATCCCTTGGGTCAGAGACAAAATAAAGAGACTAAGGCACTTATAGCTGGAGTGATAGCACAGTGGGTAGGGTGTTTGCCTTGCACACAACTGACCTGGGTTTGATTCCTCTGTCCCTCTCGGAGAGCCTGGCAAGCTATGGACAGTATCCTGCTCACACGGCAGAGTCTGGCAAACTCCCTGTGGCATATTCGATATGCCAAAAACAGTAACAAGTCTCACTTCATGTTCCTGGAGCAAGCAGATGCCATTGGGCTACACTAGCATGCGACAGGGACAAATGGAGACATTACTGGTGCCTGTTCCAGCAAATCGATGAACAGGATGACAGTGCTACAAAGCTACAAAGCAGTTAATCGTGGTTTATCCCAGGCACAACACATGGTTCCCTGAGTACCAACAGGAGTGACTCCTGAGCACAGATTTAGAAGTAAGCCCTGAACACTGCAAGGTGTGAATTCCCCCACTTGGAAATAAGTAAAAGTATACATCTCAAGTAATACATGAATGACTGCGTACATGCATAAACAGACATACAAAACCACAAAAAAAGACTTCCAGATTCCTATGACTGAAATTATTCCTCATAACTAAAGGATAGAGTAGTGAGGAGTATTGAGTACATGATGGTATTTTGAGTCCTTGATGACATTCTGTTCTTATCTAGGAGAAAATTAACCTTATGTTTATTTTTATGTTATTTAACAAGCTGTATACTTAAACTTGTATTCTCATGTTACGTTTATATATGCAGTTCAACTAAACATACATAATAAATCCCTAGTACTCATCTTTTGTAGTTATACATCTGTGAGAACTTGTGTGTATATTTTTAGGGAGTTTCAGAAGTAGATTCACCTATAAATGTAAAATTTTAAATAAAATACTAAATACTGTATTGCATTACAAAATTATTATACCATTATCTATTCTGAGACATATAGTAACTAATTCGAATATTATCAATACTTTAAATTTCAAGTAGTCTTAGATGTAAAAAGAATTCTGCTTCTTTTATGTACAGTATACTTTGAAAATTATTAGTTGTAGTTGTGATTATAAAAATTATAATTGTATGTTTATTAAAACTTTTATATTTTCATTATGGACTGATCTTTCTCTATATACATTTTATGCAGAATTATTTATTTACTTTTGTAAATAAATAAAAAATCTAAAATCTCTTTATATTAGGAATATATCTCTCTTGTTTTATTTGTCTCATGAGCGTACCCTGATTATTAGTACTCATATTTTGATTTAATAACAAATCAAAATCTCTTTTTTGGTTTGTTTGTTTTAGTGCCACATAACATGTCCAGTTCCTCTCAGGGATATGGTTCAGGAAAAGTGAAAGATAACAGTAACTTCAGAATAATCATGGTCTTTTTTATGTCACTGAGATTATACTCTTTTTCTCCCAAAGAATACTTGGGTCTTTTCAATGGTATTAAAATGATATTTAGAGAGAGGGGAGTGAATAGTTCATGAGGCAGGGCACTTGTCTTTAGTGTAGCTGCATTGACCGAAACCCTGATTGAAATCCCCAGGAGCACATATGGACCCCTGAGTACCACCAGGAACCCCTGAGAAACACTTCTGAGCACAGAGTCAGAAACCACCTGAGAAATGCTGACTGAGACCCAACCCCTGCCCCCAAAATAAGTATAAAATAAAATTAAGGAATTTTTAGGAGGCAAAGGTATCTATTAGGCTAGCATAATTGTTCCTGTTGTTTCACAGTCCAGTGATAAAAAAAATTGAAACATTTTTGCATGATTTTTCTTTTGGTTGTTACTACAGGATTTTTCCAAAATTTCTCACCAGTTCTTATTTTTTTGTGAATTTTCTTAACTATTTGTTCTATGTTTATGCATTTATAATTAGGAAAATCAAAATATTTTCAGACTGCTGAAGTCCAAAGATTTCTATTAATGACTCTATAAACCCACTTGGCAGAACTAAAAGAAAGCTTACTGTATGATAGTGTTCATCACATTTTTATTATACAGAAAGTCACCCTGAAAGGTGGTTTTTTTGTATATTGAAGAAATTGGGATATGCATTTCAAGATTTAATTTTTTTCTATCATGCTTTTCTCCAGTTCTGAAACAAAATATATCTAAATGACATAATTTTCTATTTTTCTTCAGATATTTTTAACCACTCAAACATTTATTACTGTTCCTAATCATAATTTTCTGATTCTCAAATATGCATTTTAATACCCAAAATTTTAGTGTCTTTTATGTTTGATAATGTCATAGTTTAAATCACAGTGTTATGCACTTCTAAATGTTACATAAAATAAAATAATGTTACACAAATTGATGGCACATACACAACTGAAAGTGTCTTAAATGTGAAGACATTCAACAATAGCATATTTTATAAAACCATTGAACTTTTGCTCGAGTTCAGCCTTCCTGTCTAGCTTTTGTTCTAATGATTCAAATTTTGGCATGAAAACAAAAACTTCTAATCTCCCCAGCAATCGAATCAAGGGAACTTAGCTGTTGAAGTTCTTTGTGGGGTTGTTACAGGCTTTCCTGAAATGTGTGAACAATTATAGAGATGTGATTGTTGGAGCCAGTTATTCATTTGCAAATTGGGAAAGTATTATTAAAGTAATGATAATATTTTTCCTTTTATACTTAGAGGTCTTTAATCCAAATAATCCCTTCAATGTTTTACAGACTCCACAGATTAGAACTACATCTGCTTCTAATGAAACCTATTTATCTTTAGGGAAAAGTCTGATGACTACTAATGGCAAACAAAGGCAACACCGTATAGTAAGAATAATTATGCAATAAGTGTTACTCTTGCCTAAAAGCAATAAAGAAAACCAGCAGGGAAGTATATAATGTTTTCTTTTGTATAACAACTTTACCAAGAAAGCATAGCAGATTTTTAATCTTAATTATTATCTTTTATTTTACAAAACTAAACTCTGCTTGGACCATTCTATTTTTCTCTTTCTAATAGCACAATTTTTTGCATTTTAGTACTGTTATTTGTCTCAGGGTAGTTGCAGTGTCTTCTGGGTATCTCCACCCAATATCCCCAAATAAACAAAGTTTAAAATATCCCTCAATTATGTACTCCCTGGAGTCCTTTTTAGGCATCAAATTCTATTAGAATTATATGTCTACAGGTTCCTAATACACTACACAATTTTTGATGGTGGGAAGGTTTAAATACCATTGTATATCAATCATCTAGTACAGATATATGCCACATACACTGGATAATTACTGAATATGCTGATTATCATATGACTGAA